TAAAGCGGTTAACGAAGCTGTTATTCAGTAAAGTAAAGAAGCTTTTAAAAAAAGCGTAAAAAAAATAAAGAGATCGAACCTGAACGGGTGTACTGGGCGACCACTACTGGCCGTTATAGATGGAGTTGAGAACTTGTGGCTGTGTGTCGCAGAGTTGGGGCGACCTGGCACTTGGGAATTTCCTACTAGATTTTGAACCCATTCCGGATATTTGTGAAGACAGCATGGACGTATTTTTTTGGTTATTGGAAGGGTTGGTTCTCTGCAAGCTGCATTACGTATCACTAATATTTGATTTTTTCATTCAAAAATCTATTGATTGTTCCTTCAACATTAGTAGTGATATGCAAATTTTGCACTGCAAAGCAATATGCCTCACCGAATTCATAGCTAATCGGTAGGTCTTGTAGGCTGAAAGAAGACAGAATGACATGCCATAATAAACAGATTGTTAATTTTGTGATAATTCAGAGATCGATAAGATTCCGGCTCAGATCATTGCTGCATACAAGAATAGGTACAACTTTTATAATCATTTTTGTTGTTGTCGCTGTCATCGTCAGAACAGTTTTTTTGCACTTTTGAAACAATTTTTTTTCGTTATTGTTCTTGAATTTGCTTGGCATCGCACAGAATTTCATGTAGGCCTGAGTTAAATTATGTATATGTGCCTAAAGACGTGCAAAATTTACTTTTGGTATAAAATGCAAGTTTTGATTCGTCTCATTCGTTTAAGCTTAGATTTGAAGAGAAGATTACCACTGGTTGTTTTTTTTCCATACAGTTCACAATTTTTTTTGATGAAACTTGTTTGCACAGTAGCGATGAGAAGACTGTTAGTACCACTAGACGGTCAATTTTCTATTATACGCCTAATATGATTGCACTATTCACCGTTCAAGATTCACATTAATCCAACATTTTGATCAGACAAAGTAAATGACATCGAACAAAAGAGGATAAATTTTGCTAAAAATTTTAATAATAATGTGTATCATTGTTAGAACCAATAAAGAAATGCTATTGAGGCGAGCAACAACTGATGATCAATTCATAATATATTAGTTAAGTGTGTCATTAATATGCAAACTATTAAAAACAAGAAAAAAAATTTTTTTTCAAGCATTTGACATTTGCACAATCTTAGGTCCTCCTTTATGACCAACTGGCGATTTCAGATTGTTTGGGTTAAATTAAAGATGCCAGAATTTTAGTTGATTCTGTGTTCTGATCGTTACCCAGATGTTTTCAAAAACTGTAGCTAGTTAAAAAACAGTCAATGAGGAATTAGAATTGTTTGAAAAAAGAAAACAAGAAAAGGAAGCGTAAAATAAGCCTGTCAGCTGTGATATTAAATTTGACTCTCTTTATATAAAACGTGTTTGTATCTGTGTGTATTTGAGATTTTCGTGTACATGTGATTTCAGAACTTCGAAGCAACTACTTCAGGCTGATGTGCACAAGAAAAAAACAGCAAAGAATTGTGTTAAAAAAAA